TGGCGTTTTCCGTGAAGGTTGATACGCTCAAAAAGCGTCTTTCTTATTATTTTAATGAGTGCAATGAACTGACTGACACCTACCAGTTGGTTCTTGGTTATATTTTTGGCGTTTTCCGTGAAGGTTGATACGCTCAAAAAGCGTCTTTCTTATTATTTTAATGAGTGCAATGAACTGACTGACACCTACCAGTTGGTTCTTGGTTATATTTTGGCGTTTTCCGTGAAGGTTGATACGCTCAAAAAGCGTCTTTCTTATTATTTTAATGAGTGCAATGAACTGACTGACACCTACCAGTTGGTTCTTGGTTATATTTTTGGCGTTTTCCGTGAAGGTTGATACGCTCAAAAAGCGTCTTTCTTATTATTTTAATGAGTGCAATGAACTGACTGACACCTACCAGTTGGTTCTTGGTTATATTTTGGCGTTTTCCGTGAAGGTTGATACGCTCAAAAAGCGTCTTTCTTATTATTTTAATGAGTGCAATGAACTGACTGACACCTACCAGTTGGTTCTTGGTTATATTTTGGCGTTTTCCGTGAAGGTTGATACGCTCAAAAAGCGTCTTTCTTATTATTTTAATGAGTGCAATGAACTGACTGACACCTACCAGTTGGTTCTTGGTTATATTTTGGCGTTTTCCGTGAAGGTTGATACGCTCAAAAAGCGTCTTTCTTATTATTTTAATGAGTGCAATGAACTGACTGACACCTACCAGTTGGTTCTTGGTTATATTTTGGCGTTTTCCGTGAAGGTTGATACGCTCAAAAAGCGTCTTTCTTATTATTTTAATGAGTGCAATGAACTGACTGACACCTACCAGTTGGTTCTTGGTTATATTTTGGCGTTTTCCGTGAAGGTTGATACGCTCAAAAAGCGTCTTTCTTATTATTTTAATGAGTGCAATGAACTGACTGACACCTACCAGTTGGTTCTTGGTTATATTTTGGCGTTTTCCGTGAAGGTTGATACGCTCAAAAAGCGTCTTTCTTATTATTTTAATGAGTGCAATGAACTGACTGACACCTACCAGTTGGTTCTTGGTTATATTTTGGCGTTTTCCGTGAAGGTTGATACGCTCAAAAAGCGTCTTTCTTATTATTTTAATGAGTGCAATGAACTGACTGACACCTACCAGTTGGTTCTTGGTTATATTTTGGCGTTTTCCGTGAAGGTTGATACGCTCAAAAAGCGTCTTTCTTATTATTTTAATGAGTGCAATGAACTGACTGACACCTACCAGTTGGTTCTTGGTTATATTTTGGCGTTTTCCGTGAAGGTTGATACGCTCAAAAAGCGTCTTTCTTATTATTTTAATGAGTGCAATGAACTGACTGACACCTACCAGTTGGTTCTTGGTTATATTTTGGCGTTTTCCGTGAAGGTTGATACGCTCAAAAAGCGTCTTTCTTATTATTTTAATGAGTGCAATGAACTGACTGACACCTACCAGTTGGTTCTTGGTTATATTTTGGCGTTTTCCGTGAAGGTTGATACGCTCAAAAAGCGTCTTTCTTATTATTTTAATGAGTGCAATGAACTGACTGACACCTACCAGTTGGTTCTTGGTTATATTTTGGCGTTTTCCGTGAAGGTTGATACGCTCAAAAAGCGTCTTTCTTATTATTTTAATGAGTGCAATGAACTGACTGACACCTACCAGTTGGTTCTTGGTTATATTTTGGCGTTTTCCGTGAAGGTTGATACGCTCAAAAAGCGTCTTTCTTATTATTTTAATGAGTGCAATGAACTGACTGACACCTACCAGTTGGTTCTTGGTTATATTTTGGCGTTTTCCGTGAAGGTTGATACGCTCAAAAAGCGTCTTTCTTATTATTTTAATGAGTGCAATGAACTGACTGACACCTACCAGTTGGTTCTTGGTTATATTTTGGCGTTTTCCGTGAAGGTTGATACGCTCAAAAAGCGTCTTTCTTATTATTTTAATGAGTGCAATGAACTGACTGACACCTACCAGTTGGTTCTTGGTTATATTTTGGCGTTTTCCGTGAAGGTTGATACGCTCAAAAAGCGTCTTTCTTATTATTTTAATGAGTGCAATGAACTGACTGACACCTACCAGTTGGTTCTTGGTTATATTTTGGCGTTTTCCGTGAAGGTTGATACGCTCAAAAAGCGTCTTTCTTATTATTTTAATGAGTGCAATGAACTGACTGACACCTACCAGTTGGTTCTTGGTTATATTTTGGCGTTTTCCGTGAAGGTTGATACGCTCAAAAAGCGTCTTTCTTATTATTTTAATGAGTGCAATGAACTGACTGACACCTACCAGTTGGTTCTTGGTTATATTTTGGCGTTTTCCGTGAAGGTTGATACGCTCAAAAAGCGTCTTTCTTATTATTTTAATGAGTGCAATGAACTGACTGACACCTACCAGTTGGTTCTTGGTTATATTTTGGCGTTTTCCGTGAAGGTTGATACGCTCAAAAAGCGTCTTTCTTATTATTTTAATGAGTGCAATGAACTGACTGACACCTACCAGTTGGTTCTTGGTTATATTTTGGCGTTTTCCGTGAAGGTTGATACGCTCAAAAAGCGTCTTTCTTATTATTTTAATGAGTGCAATGAACTGACTGACACCTACCAGTTGGTTCTTGGTTATATTTTGGCGTTTTCCGTGAAGGTTGATACGCTCAAAAAGCGTCTTTCTTATTATTTTAATGAGTGCAATGAACTGACTGACACCTACCAGTTGGTTCTTGGTTATATTTTGGCGTTTTCCGTGAAGGTTGATACGCTCAAAAAGCGTCTTTCTTGTTATTTTAATGAGTGCAATGAACTGACTGACACCTACCAGTTGGTTCTTGGTTATATTTTGGCGTTTTCCGTGAAGGTTGATACGCTCAAAAAGCGTCTTTCTTATTATTTTAATGAGTGCAATGAACTGACTGACACCTACCAGTTGGTTCTTGGTTATATTTTGGCGTTTTCCGTGAAGGTTGATACGCTCAAAAAGCGTCTTTCTTATTATTTTAATGAGTGCAATGAACTGACTGACACCTACCAGTTGGTTCTTGGTTATATTTTGGCGTTTTCCGTGAAGGTTGATACGCTCAAAAAGCGTCTTTCTTATTATTTTAATGAGTGCAATGAACTGACTGACACCTACCAGTTGGTTCTTGGTTATATTTTGGCGTTTTCCGTGAAGGTTGATACGCTCAAAAAGCGTCTTTCTTATTATTTTAATGAGTGCAATGAACTGACTGACACCTACCAGTTGGTTCTTGGTTATATTTTGGCGTTTTCCGTGAAGGTTGATACGCTCAAAAAGCGTCTTTCTTATTATTTTAATGAGTGCAATGAACTGACTGACACCTACCAGTTGGTTCTTGGTTATATTTTGGCGTTTTCCGTGAAGGTTGATACGCTCAAAAAGCGTCTTTCTTATTATTTTAATGAGTGCAATGAACTGACTGACACCTACCAGTTGGTTCTTGGTTATATTTTGGCGTTTTCCGTGAAGGTTGATACGCTCAAAAAGCGTCTTTCTTATTATTTTAATGAGTGCAATGAACTGACTGACACCTACCAGTTGGTTCTTGGTTATATTTTGGCGTTTTCCGTGAAGGTTGATACGCTCAAAAAGCGTCTTTCTTATTATTTTAATGAGTGCAATGAACTGACTGACACCTACCAGTTGGTTCTTGGTTATATTTTGGCGTTTTCCGTGAAGGTTGATACGCTCAAAAAGCGTCTTTCTTATTATTTTAATGAGTGCAATGAACTGACTGACACCTACCAGTTGGTTCTTGGTTATATTTTGGCGTTTTCCGTGAAGGTTGATACGCTCAAAAAGCGTCTTTCTTATTATTTTAATGAGTGCAATGAACTGACTGACACCTACCAGTTGGTTCTTGGTTATATTTTGGCGTTTTCCGTGAAGGTTGATACGCTCAAAAAGCGTCTTTCTTATTATTTTAATGAGTGCAATGAACTGACTGACACCTACCAGTTGGTTCTTGGTTATATTTTGGCGTTTTCCGTGAAGGTTGATACGCTCAAAAAGCGTCTTTCTTATTATTTTAATGAGTGCAATGAACTGACTGACACCTACCAGTTGGTTCTTGGTTATATTTTTGGCGTTTTCCGTGAAGGTTGATACGCTCAAAAAGCGTCTTTCTTATTATTTTAATGAGTGCAATGAACTGACTGACACCTACCAGTTGGTTCTTGGTTATATTTTGGCGTTTTCCGTGAAGGTTGATACGCTCAAAAAGCGTCTTTCTTATTATTTTAATGAGTGCAATGAACTGACTGACACCTACCAGTTGGTTCTTGGTTATATTTTGGCGTTTTCCGTGAAGGTTGATACGCTCAAAAAGCGTCTTTCTTATTATTTTAATGAGTGCAATGAACTGACTGACACCTACCAGTTGGTTCTTGGTTATATTTTTGGCGTTTTCCGTGAAGGTTGATACGCTCAAAAAGCGTCTTGTCTTATTAATTTTCTCTAAACCATAGTTAGTTTTTCTTTAGCTGCATCAAAACTTTCCAAGAGTAGAGACTCAACGTGAATCCAAATGTGAATAAGGATGCAGACTAAAATACGAACTCCCACTAACTTTAATTTGATTATCTTATAGGGAATCAAATTTGTAGGAACTACTTCGTTCAATGGTGTACGTGGCGGATGATCATCGTGAACTAACCGCAAATTTTTTCCCTTGCTTTAAAGTCAAAATACGTAGTGAAATAATTGGTCCTGATTTTTTTTTTCAGTAGTCGCGCTCGAGTTTGTTTTTCGCGGTTTGACTTTTGTTTTGCGGTTGCTATTTTGATTTTTTTAGGCTCAGTTCATTGGCATTGTTAAAAGACAAACTCGAACAGCAAAAGTGAAAAGGTCACGAAAAGCGTTATAGGCTTCTAATTTCGGATGTGGAATTTAGTTTTCAGATATCCTTAATTTTCGGATAAGTTTATGTAAAAATAGTGATTTTGTATTTTTTACTGATTTCATTTTCACAGTGGTTTCTGTTTAGACTGTATATTGCTGGTGGTTTCGGGAAAACATCTGACAAGAAAGTGGAGCAAAAGATGGGTGGATTGCGTTTACTTTTAACTTACGAAGTCAAGGAGAAATCTATGAAGAAAGTGGGCCAACTGAAAAACGCATCCATTCAGCGACTTAACTCAACTATGGATCTCTGTGGGAAAACTATTGTGATATTTGGCGGCAAAGAAGGTTCTAGAATACTGAATGACCTCATAACGATAAACACGGAAACATCAGCTATCAGTTTGCATCAGTCTAAAATATGGAAAATATTCCCGCAGTCAAGATACAGACATGCAAGTGGGGTTTATTCACGCCCAATTGCGCATGGAGATGCTAACGAGCCTTTAGTTTATATAGACGGTGGGAGGAATTTTACAAAGTGTTTCAGTGATAGCTTTTGTTACAACCCTGAAAAGGACAGATGGACCAAAGTGAGAATGCATGGCGATACTTTGCCATCTCGCCATTCTCATTCATTGTGTTCCAAAAACGAATACTCCTTCTACTTAACAGGAGAGTGCTGATTGATGAGCATTGAAATTTACGACCTTCATATTTTTTTTTCAAATTGCTACAGTGCTGATTTAAATTATCCGGACAAAACGAACCTAACTTCAATTTTCAAACGCGTTTTTCTCAATTTGGGTTAAGATTAAACAAAAAGAAGAGAACAAAAGTTGCTTTGAGTTTCATCAGAATCAGGGGCGGATTTAGGGGGGGGGGGGTGGACGCCCCCTCCCCCTCAGGGATTCGACCCAAAAGGTACCCCTTTTGGTATTTTTTAAGACATCCGTTTTTGGCGGACCCGACCCTAAATTTTTTCTAAAAGCGCCTTTGGCGCCAATATATACTAATTTTGAGGGGGAGCGCGCGCCAAATAACGCAATTTTTCAATCACAATTTTCCAAAAATGCCCAAAAACGCCATTTTGACCTATTTTTTTCAAAAAAAAAATACCCCAAAAATAGGCATTGGCTTTTTTCAATTAATCAAGAATTACGCTGAAATTTCTTTGTTTATCGATGAGAAATATATATCACAAGAAGCTTCTTACACCCCAATAAAGTTTTAGAAGAGTCAAAATTTCAAAACCTGTATAAGCGAAAATATTTAATCTTGATAGTCATGAAATATAATTTTTACTAATAAAATCCAAAATCTTTGCTTAAAAACAAATTTTAAACAATTTGCGCAAATTTTTCAAGATATAAGTTTTCTGAAGCTTTGTTCGGCTGTGTAAGAGAGCTTCTTATGATTCAAAGAAGTTTCAGCGTAATTCTTGATAAATTGATAAAAGCCAAACTGACCCATTTTTAGGGTAAAATTTTAGTTGAGAATTTCGGAGAAAAAATTGCACCGTATTAATTCTGATGAAATTCTAAGCAACTTTTGGTTCTCTTCACTTTTTGTCTAAACTTAACCCAATTTGAGAAAAACGCGTTCGAAAATTCAAGTTTTGTCCGGATACTTAAAATCAGCACTATATCAATTTCCAATTCATCAATCAATTCAGATACCTAACTTGGTTTTGCATTCTCATAAAGATTGTCTAAAAACGGTATTGACGCTGTTTAAAGAGTCCGTGAAATAACTAAAAGTCTCTTGCATGCAGTGGTGAAAAGATTTGATTCTTTCCAATAAATTGCGTAAATATTTGAACAAATTTTTTCAAGTATTATGATTTGATATGAAAGTTGACATTTTTTTTTCTGATTATCAATATTTTGAATCTTCTACATTTAAATTCTGAAATTAAATATTAAATGCTCATTGATTGTAGGAGGATTAATAAACGATTCGGAGTTTCAAATAAACACTTCGCTGTACGTTCTGGAATTTGCGGATCCTTTCCAGTGTTTAGTGTCAGTGAAAAGCAGACATTTACCGCCTGTCTTTGGACACACCTCACATGTTTACAAGTGCTCGAAAACAAGTACAGTTTGGCTTCTTATGGTCGGAGGTATAGTACCATATTGTCCGTACAGTTTAATTACAATGTTCGATTTGTCAGCATTGAATGTGAAGACTCAAGTCAGAGTGGGTGGCGATTGTCTAATGTCGAATCATTCCAGTCACATTTTTGAGGACAATTTGTGGATTATTGGCGGCGGTGGGTTTATGGCTAATTTTGGAACATTTTTCAACAATAAAATCAAGTGTTACAAAATGGACGCTATTTTGGAGGCCACTAAAAATGCGCCGCTTTTTCCGGCCATGGACGGAAGCGAGCATAAGGGACGAATGGAGAAAAAGTTAGACAAATCTAAAATAGGTTTAGACAATTGAAGGCCCATTTTTCTACATCCCACACCTTTCAAGTTATCTATTTATACTTGCGGAGTAAATAATGTTTTTACTACTTTTTATTTTTCCCAACCATTAGTGCAAACATTAGTGCTACTTTCGTTTCGTGGCCCTTTTGCCGCAGAAAACATTGGCAGTTTAGTTGTCTATGCTTTGACTTTCGAGTTAACACCGTTGATGCATTTTTACTCATCAATTGAATCGAAACAGCTTTTTCTTCTATAACAGTACAATAATAGAAATTCTTTTTCAGAAATTTTCCAACTCAACTTATTTTGCGAAATTTTTGAAATGCATGTTTTATACAATTCAGTTTTATATTTTCCATCTCATTACATTCAAAGTTTTTCCATTTTTTACATGAAATGATAATTTATTGAAATGACAATTTGTTGCACTGACAATTTATTAGCATCTGTAGCTGCCTTTCTCTCGAGGATAGTGTTACGAAACTTTCAAGGGCACGTGGCGCAGATGCGAGAGCATGAGACTCCAACACGAATCCGACCCAGCAAACGTCATAAAATTCATTTTTTCATATTTGTTTCATACGTATTTTTATTGAGAGTAAAGAAAGTAGTGAAGACTCTTATATAGGTCATGGCGATTTTTTTGTTTTGTTTTCTGGAAAAGGTCTTAAAATTCTCTAATACGCTTAGATGTGCATTTATACGTTTATGCATTTATGAATGCTCTTAGGTATATATGCACTTTCTGAGTTCAATTGAAATTCATCTGCTGAAAGTTGCGTAAATAGCACTCTCCAAATACAACGTAGATAGAAATGGCGCAAAAATTCGTGAACTATTTTAGTTTGGAAAGTGGAATTTAATTTAATAATTTCCAGCGGAATAAAAACTTTACCTGTTGATCTAGTTTTCTCAAGTTGGGTTAATTTTATCAAAAAAGCGCTAATCATAAATTGTTCTAGACATTCAAAGGGCATATATTTTTTCTATGAAATCCGAAAATTGAGATTTTTTCAACAGAGTCAGTGTATTTTTCTGTTTACTTGCGTTCATTACTCTTTCCCAATTGTCAGTTGGCTATGTTTTGTTTTTTAGTCTGCTTTTTATTATTTTCTCGCTTTTATTTGTGTAATTTAATATGGCCAAATGTAATAGATATTCACCATGCCAAGTTTCTTGACACTAGGGCAATTGAAAGTAGTTTTTCTGAATTGAAATTGAAAGGTGGTGAGGAAAATGGTAAAGAATCCAATTGACTAAAGCTCGAATAGACCGAGCTAATTAAACTGAGCAAACTACCTATTTCCCGAAATTTCTGCAGGCAAAAGCTACTTTCTCTGGCGTAATTAATGTCCAAGGTTGCTCAAATTTCCATCAGTAGCAAGTTATTCTATGCAATAAGTTTTGTCTATTCGAACTTCGCAACTTATTATAATTGAGGAGCTTTTCAACTTGACCCATATCGTAAATAACAATATTTTGAACGGTTACGAAAGTGTATTTGTCACATCAACAGAAACTAAATCAGAAAGATTTGGATGTTGCGCTCACTCTCCACGTGGGTAAAAATATATTTGTGTTCGTGACTTCCCATGACTGGTGTACATTGAAATCAATTACTGTTATTTTCTCGTGAACACTTGTTCACAAGACTTATCTCCTGAGGTCTGGCGTTGGTTGGACTCAAAATAATACTAATTTTGAATACACAGTCACTTCGAAATTTGTTTACTATCTTGGATGTACAATTGCCAACTCGGAATCTGTACAATTTGCTCATTAATTTTTTTCCCTTTTTAAGGTTTATTCGGCTTAAAAGGATTCTGCGTATGTTACATCGGCTTAGTAGCCTCATATTGTGTCATCTGTCTGGCGAAATAAAATCTCAAGTTGAGAAAAAAAACTTTCTTGTGTCGAACTTTTTTATGTTCACGTTTCTTAGGACGTCATTTTTTCGGACCCAAGTATTATCGGTTTAGTTACCGTTTTGTGAATACTTGTATCATGTTAGGTTGAAACCGCCTATTATTGTTCTTGATATGCTGTTTCATTCGAGACGAATCGTGATTTGAACATCTTGTGTTAAAAAGTGATGTATGTACTTTATGAGATCAAACTATCAATAGTTTCGGCTTCGCTTATTGCAGAGTGCCAAACCAAAAATCGGATTTGTAAAGACACTATTGCTGAAAATGAGTAACTTAATACACTTTTGCTTTGTGGTTGAATGTCCAATTATAAACTTACATCCAAACTAATTCTACTACAAAGTGTATCCTTGGTTGTCAGGTCTGCTAATGATGAGTATGCTGACTTCGAGCAGGAGTTGTATTTTGAGAAGAAGCAGGAGAACTTGAGCATCAGCAGAGTGTCATCTTCTCTCAGCGGGGCTCAGGGATCACCAACTGTGTCGCCAGCACCCCAGAAAACAACAGACACAGCCCAAATAGATGGTCAAAAAGGTTGGTTGCATCTCGCTATCAGTAAGTTTTTTTCTATCTAGTTAAATAAAAGAAACGGATTTGAGTTACAAACTAGAAACCGGATTTTAAAAAATGAACAAGAACTTGTTGGCCAAGAAGCTTGGCTCCATACCAAGGCTACTAGCCGTCTAATCTATTAATTTAATGTTTTCCCGCATTCTGAAGTGCTCGTGGACAAAATGGGGAAGGGGGTTGGTTAGTTGAAAAGGTTTTATACAAAGTTCAACCTGTCAGAGATGAAATGTTATCACATTGTATTGATGTGAGTTTATCATTTAATTTAAAATCATTTATAATGATTGTTACTTGGAGTTAATAATACGCAACACTGCTTGTAAAGTTTCTATTTCTCTTGACTTTTAGTGTCGTCTGGTGAACATAACAGTTATTTGTGCATTCTTTAAGTTTTTGACTAGTCAAAATATAAATTTAGATGGAAGCTTTTTGATGAGATAGTTTTTCTATATTTAGTATCATTGTTAAGAAAAAAAAACATTAACTTTCTTGATTGTTCAGAGAAAAACATTTTGCGGGTTGGTTCTGTTGCTTTTTTTAAAATTATTTTTTTCTGTCTATGCAAAAAATATCATAGTAGATTATATTGAGAAAAAAACGTTGTATTTTGAATTATTGAATAAACAATGCTTTTTTCTTCAGGTGAGAAAAAGAGTGGAGCAGAAAGTGATGATGAGGGAACAGAGAATCTAGACATGAGGGAAACATCCCATCTGGAGAGACAGACTTCTTTCGCATCTTCAGAGCAAAATCCGAACCAGCGACAGCAGGAACAGACTAACAGTAAACAAAGAGTTAAAAAGGATAAAGATTTACACACATCTCTCAAACAAGGCGAACAGAAAGGTCAGCAGCTAGAAGAGCCTGAAAATAGTCAAAATTATGCAGAGATGGAATTGCAAGAAGCCAGAACGCAGTTTCAGACGCCGCAAAGTGGAAAGAAAGAAAATAAAGGCCAACAAAGCGAAAAAGCTGTCAAATTGGCATCACTCGCGAATGCCAAAATTGGGAGCAAAGAAACTGTGAAAGCGAAAGGAAAACCAGTTGCAAAAAGCGAAGCAAAGAGCAAAAACTAAGGTTTTGCGAACATATTGTAATAACAACTATAAAATGATACACTTGTAGATGTGAACAAAATGCAACAAAGCAAAAAAAGTTTCATTAAATATTTTATTCTTTCGGCTAAATATGAAATACTTGTAAGTGATCCCAATCCTTAGAATTAGCTTCTTTCTACGCCTCTTAAGCTTAATAGTAATTAGATTATTAGCAAGAGCCCACTTTATATTAAAAAAACAACGATGAACGTAGTTCAGGCTCTTCTATAGGTCGCTTCTATATGTTTTTATGTTTTGGTTTTTTAGGAAAACTCATAAAAGTTTATTCAGGCTCTAGTTTTTTGGGGTTTATGATTTTTTTAACTTTAGTTCATTTATTTTTTTATTAAAATAATGGCTAACTCTACTATCGAACAGCAAAAGTGTAAAAGTCACGAAAAAGTGATTGAATTCTAGTTTGTAAGTGATTTTCAGATTTCCCAGCGAAACATAAAATTACCTATCGATCCAGTTTTTTTTTCAAATTCAGTTAATTTTACCAAAAAAATCTATCATAAATGTTCTTGAAACTCAACGAGCTTCAAGGTTATCCATTTTTTTCTTTGAAATTTGGAAGTTGAGTTTTTCAAAAAACAAGTCAGTTTTTTTTCTGTTTACTTGCGTTCATTGGCTCATTTAATTCATTGTTTAACCACGTGTTGTTGGCTTAGTGGCACGGGAAATACTTGAAGTTTGCCTAATTGTGGTGTTTATTTTTGTCTGTTTTTCTGTGATTGAATTTTTCGTGTTTCAACTTTTTTAAGTGTTTTTTTTCCACTTAGTTATTTCCACCTGACTGACCATTTAGAAGCTTGCAGTGGTACGCTTTTGTTGTATCGCAAGTGATGGGAACCTCCTATTGGTCTCTGTATTTTAAGTTAAGTTAATTGACTTTGAAGGAAGGTAATTTCTACTATTGAACAGCAAGAATGCGAAGATCACGAAAAATAGTGTTCAACTTCCGAAAGTCTGTTTAGCTTTACATGTCTTAGCGGAGTGAATAGTTACCTATTGATCCTTTTTTCTCAAACTTGGTCAACTTTATCGACCAATTGTCAATCTTATATTGCTTTCAAAAAACAAGTCGGTATTTTTTTTTTTGGTTGGATCAATGGTTTATTTGGTTACCCCAAAAAAGGGCGTTTGTGCCTCAGTCAAAGTGAGCAACACACCAGGCTTTTGAGAAAATTTTGACTGCTAGGTTGACTTTGATTGCTTTGATGAAAAGCCTCAAAGTAGCTTGAACCCGCAAAAAATCCATTTCATTCTCTATAAAGTAGAATTTCATCTGCAGGCTCAAAATGTGTTAAATTTTTTCTCTTGTTTTTTTTTCATAAAAAAACAAGCGTTTTGCAGTTTTTTATGTTTGAGGTCGCGGGGCGTTTTCTTCTCAAGTCATGAGTTTAACGTAATTAGTGGCCAGCACAATTGTCCAATTTAGTTGCATCTAAAAACAATAATTGCTTCAAGGAATCAGCGGTACCGAATCAAAATTTAACAAAGTTCTTTTTTTTAAATATCAAATGCCCATGTACTAGAAACAAGTAAATTGATAGTTCAAGGAAAATAATGAAAGAAGACAATTAAGTTTTGTCGATCTTTTCAAAGTTCATATTCGCAATTGAAATAATATATTGATCAGATTGCATAGTTCATCAAGATCTATCAGATGGTGGCGTTCCTTATGAGAAAAAGAGACATGATGATGCAAAACTAGGTTTTTAAAATGAGAAAATCTCAAACAAATGAGAAAATGAGTATTCATACTTCTTAAAGGTATTGCAAACTTTTCATATTAAGCAAATATTTCCAGGCCAAAAAATCAAAGCTGACCGCTTGCAATAAAAAACAGGCAAACTTATGCCATTTTTTCTCAGACTTCAGATGCTTTGTGAAAACCTAATATTTGAAGCTGAGCCGTTTTTAAAAATTGAAGAAAAAAAAACAACCAATTTGTTCAATTTTTGCGTGAATTGACTGCAAAACTTGGTTGTAGTGCATAAATGTATTTTATGTTAACTTTCTACTTCGAGTTCGAGCAAAAAACGTTGAGCGAAACGAAATATCTAAGAATTCTGATTGCTTGAATTATTTCTACCTTTCGGTTTCTCCATCATTAGAATAGTCCCCAATGAGATGATACAAGTCCGTCACAAAGTGTTAGTGCTGAAACGGTTTTCCGATTTTTTTTTTGAAAAATTGAAACGAGAACTTACATGTTGATATTAGAACCAATTAATGAAGAAAGTTCAGAAACTAAGTTTTTGCACTGCTGACTTGCTCTGTTGTTCTGACTATCCCGAACTGGCAAAAATGCTTTTTTAATTAAATTAATTGTAAATTGATTGAAAATTATCCAAATTTATGCACACTTTAAAAAGATTTAAATTTGAATCTATTCATTCCGGAAATTTTGAATTGATTTGACGGTTTGATAAACTAATCCCACCTCAAGCCAGTTATATCAATTTTGTGGTGGTATGAAGATTAATTTTGTGGCCACAAGCAGTTTTCAATTTATTCTAATTTATTTTTAATCCAGAACTTGATTAATAACTTTCACTGAAAAAACCTCCGTCAGTCTAACAGTCACCATCAGTCCGTTCACTAAGAGTTCCCAACTGAAAACTTATATTATCTCGTGCTCCTTCAAATTTTCTATAATATAAAAGAACCTCCTGATAAAAAATGTTGAGTCCGATTTCTTTCAAATTGTTCTTAGGAGGATTACTTTTGAGGGAAAAATTTCAAAGCGAGAAAACCTGAAGTCGACTCGCTAAAGTCTTTTCTTGAAACGCGCCGAGTAAATTTTTTCCTAAGTCGTGCGGCTAAAATTTTTTGTTTGTATCGCACCGCCGTAGTTAATTCTTAGATCGCTTGGCTTAAGTTTTTTTTTGGATTGCGCTGCTTAAGTACTTCCTGCCATTTCATTCCTTCAGTAAGACGCGCCTTCAATTTTGAGTCGCGCCATTAGTCTTTTTTAAATCGCGCCTCTTAGTTTCTATCTTAAGTTGCCCATTCAATTATTTGTTAAATCGGTACGGTTATGTATTTTCCGAGTCGCGCCGGCAGTTTTAATTCAAATCGCGCCGCTTATGACTTTTTTCAGTTGCGCCGTCAGTCTTCATCGCTTTTTCTTAAGTCCACGCGCAGACTTTAGAAAAGACTTAAACAGTGCGAATTAAAAAAAGACAGAGGGCGCAACTTACGAAAAAACTGATGACTTAAATTGAGAAAAAAACTTGAGCAGTGCAACTTAAAAAAAGACTGTAAGCGCGACTTAAAAAAAAGATTTAAGCGGCGGATGACATAAGCAAAAATCTAGGGCGCGTATTAGAAAAAAACTGACAGTGCAACTTAAGAGAAAACTTTAGCAGAGCGACTTAAGAAAACACATTATTGTGGCGATTTAAAAAAGTTTGCGCGACAAAACGTTTGCCGCGCGATATGACAAAATACTTTGGCAGCAAGAATTTAAACAATACTCAAGCTGCGTTACTTAGCAAAATCTCGACTAACGAAAAGACAGACGACTCATTTTTTTAACAATTTTTTTTGCTGCGCGACTTAAGAAAAGACCAATAGCCTGACTTACAAAACGACTGGCGACGCAAAATAAGAAAAGGCTTTAACGGCGCGACATAAGAAAAGACTGAAGACACGAATTATGAAAAGACTGTCGGCGCGTCTTTAAAAAAAACGTTAGCGGCGCGATTTAAGAAAAGACATTAGCGGTGCGACTTAGGAAAAGTTCTTAGCAGTGCGTCTCAAGGAAAGGCTTTTGGTTTTTTACTCAGTCGCGCAGATTGTTGCCATTTGATCTTAGGCGCGACGTTCGCGCGATTACTTCATGTCGCACCGGTCGTTTGATTTTTTTTTTCAGTCACACCGGTCTTGAAGTGCCAAGTTTTGGCAGCGCCGGTCTGATATTGCCAATATAAAGTAGCGGCGCAGGTCTGGAATTGTCAAATGTGGGCCGCGCCGATCTTTTCATAAACCGCGGAACTCGAACCGGGAGTGCAAATTTGACAAAGGGGAAGAAAAAAGTCAAAAAAAAAATGTAGCGCGTTTTTGATTCAAACAATTGCTTCCTGAAGACTTTTTAATGAATGTAAAGTTAAATCTATCTCCTTTTCATTGTACCAAAATCAGGATATTAACATTTTATGGGAGCCCTATATAGCAAAACGAGTTCCGTTATTTAAATTTTTCATTTATAAAAACTAAACAATTACTTTCAGCTGAATGCAAATAATTCTTGAAATAACGTCTTTATTTTTTTCCAACGAAATCAAAAGAAATATAAATAACTGAATAAGCGTTGTATTTTGAGAAAAAATTGATCCCTGAAAATTGTCCAGCACAATTTAAAGACCCAAGAAAGTGATGAACACGTGAAATTACACATAGAGCCAGAACTAAAAAAAAGTCGAGCCAATAATTCTGCAGAAAACATGTTTTTATTTAAATATTACAAGAAATAATTGTCATACGTTTTAGTACACTTGCAATTATGTGACGTCGTTTCGGTTCGCTTCATTAACCAAAGTCAACTACAACAAAAAAAAGTAAAATCAAGTTCGTTCACTTTCTAAAAATTACGAAAAACATTATTAACTATAACTTCACTTCTACCAAATTTTCTCACTGATTGTCAGCCGAAACTCTAAGCAAATAATAGTATTCTAGTCACTCATATGATGGTTCGAATACTTTTAATTTCACTTTTCCTCGTAAACTTTGACTTAGCCAACTCTGTGTCAGTTCATCAGTTACATATGGAACTCCTTGAAAACTACAACCGCTGGATACGACCAGTAACCAATCAGGTCTGAAACAAACAAACTGGACAAATTAGGAGCAAATGAACAAATTAGAATCAAGTTAACATCGACTCAGCTGAGCTGTTAGGAGAATTTAAGTTGTTTTCAAATTTTTTTCAAGATTTGTGTGCGCTTTTAATTTGAAACAAAGTAACATTGAGCTGAAATTCAATTAAGAAATGCCCATGACCCCTCAGGGATTCGATCCTATGACCACCCGAAAAGATACCCCTTTGGTATACTGTTTTATTGCATCTCTAATTCGTCGACACTAAATTTGATAGTCTTCTAAAAGCGTTTTTGGTGCCAAAGTATTTCAAATTTAACGGGGAGTTGGCGCCGAAAACAAACGCGGAGAAACGCGTCATATTTACCCTGATTTTCTAAAATTCGCCTCAGGCGCAGAAAACTTAAGCCTTGCTCGAATTTGTTTGACCGTTGGACCAGGTTCTTCTTAAGTGTAAATGGTAGTTACTTAAGACCATCTAACCACGAGGGAAAGACTAACATACACAGGGGCTGGGACTAACAAAAACTACAAGCTGTTGAGACCAGTCACTGATATACTCAATAAAACACAGAAGGTGGGGCTAGAACTGTTCCCTTTTGTATAATTATTCCCTATGATTTCAGTCTTCGATTGTGAATCTGACTTATGGAGCTGCACTGTACCAGCTGGTGGGGTTCGATGTCAAACTGGAGACCCTCTCCACTCTCATCTGGCAGAGACTCTACTGGCAGGACCAGTTCATCCAGTGGCATCCAGCAGATTATGAGGCATGTTGACAGTTTCAATGAGTTCAATGACTCAATTACACTAGCAGTACCAACTAGTTATGTAGCTGCCGTGGATCTCAAATGAGTAATTATAGTAATTAAAGGGATAGTAACTATAGTATTATAGTACTCAAATTCCTATAAGCAAATCTAAAGTTATAAAAGGTATGAACTATCACTAAAGGTATAAACTATGATAGATGGTTGCCGCGCACGTAACCGGGTCAAGGTGCTTGATTTAAATTATGACTTTTAAAGTCGAGCAAATGCAGTTTTTCGACTGAAATTCAGCGACTGAGAAGCAATTTTAAATCGAGCATGCCCAGTTTTAAGCAAAACATACATCGAGCACAGTTAAAACATAGGACAAGCTCAGTTGAAACATTCGTCTAGCCAGATTTTTTTTTGAAATTTTTGGTACAGTTTCCACATATTGACTGTAACAAAGGAATAATAACAAAAAAGAAAAAAATTTACAAGGGCGTCTCACTAAGAGATTGTCTCACTATCTGAACTATTTGATTGATATTGAAAGTTATGAAATGCTAAATCAAAGTATTTAACTTTCCAGGTCAAAAATTTGACGTAAAATTTAAACCAGATGTGTTTTCACGGAGAGATCAAAAAACCTTTTGAACAGTTTTTCGGCGCAACCACGGCCAAAAACAAAACGAGAAAATTTTTTTGTTTGTCGAGAAACTTGAAACAAATGAAAATTTCTATTTTTGGTCGAGAAAGTCGAAACATATCAATGCGGGGTCGAACAGATAAACTTTTTTAAAATGTCGGTCAAAATAGTCAAAGCATACCTGAGAGCTGGATTGAATAAAGTCAAAACCTATCAAAATTTGGTCGAGAAAGTCGAAACATACCGATTTTCAGTCGAGAAAGCCGAAAAATACCAATTTTTAGTCGAGAAAGTCAAAATATAAAGCAAGCACCTCGACCCGGGTAGTTCAGAAGGCTCCGACCACAAGAAGTTATACAAAATCATTTCCTTATTTTTTTAAACGTTCTGTTATTTTAAACTAAAAGTTCAAGTAGTTTCAAAAAATGCAACATTATTTTCAAAAAGGGCCACTTAAAACATTGTAACAATTCTTATCAGTAAATTTGTGGTGACTCGCATTCGTATCGATACCTTCTGATCGCATCAAAATTAAAATCTTTTATCTCGATATATTTCGTGCTACTAAAACTTGAGCGGCAAATAAATCGTTTCAGAGAACTAAGCAACCAATTACTTTTGTTTAAAGTGTTACTAGTCTCAAAGTATGTCTCTTTGTACTTTGCAAAGTGTGAGGGGCTTGAAATGAAGAAAAAATTGACACGAAAAAATGAAAAAAAATTCAGTTAATATATGAATTTCGACAAAAAAAACAAGACTGCTCCGAATTCTCGCTAATTGTTCTCAATTAAATTTTGGTTACTGATATTTTGAGAAAATACGAATTTTAAGCTGATAAAATCAAATTTTAAGAAGGAAAATTTGAGTCAAATATGGATTTTATAATACCAATTAGTTTGCTTCAGTTCAGTTTGGAAAATTATGAGAGCGGATAATTTACCACTCATAAAAAATTCGCGTATTGAGACTTTGAATTCTTTTTCAAGTTTCAAAGCCTTCCGCTTTTTAGTCTAATGCGTGCATACTCGCTTGGTATTCCAAAGAGCCTAAGGTTTCCGGATTGATACCCATACGGTATCAATTTTTGTAAAATCGGTCTGAATAAAAATCATTCCAGTCATATATATTCCTCACTTTCTTCGAAAGTCAGAACAATAAATTTTTCATTGATTTTAAACGGCAGTCTGAACATTCAAGTCTTCGTATTGTAATGGGCAGTCCGTTTTTGATTCATATTTAAACATCTCATATCATTTAAGTCTGCACATACTTCTTTTTTGTTACTAACAAAATCTAATCATGAAAATGAGAACAAATATAACAGATATTTCAAGCAGCTCCTAAAAATGAAATTAGTAAAAATCAGAGAAACCAATTCAAATTCTTAATATATTAATTTTTTGTTTTTTTAATCTAAAAAATCGAAAAAAAACTCAGTTTAACGAAGAGCAAATGTGAAACTAGATTGAATATGGATATGAAATTATGCCTAGTTATTGGCATGTTAATTAATAAAGAATTGTCAAACTCGCCAGTGTGACTCCTGACTGAAATATAGTTTGTTTTTGCTAATTCTCTTTTTAGGGCATTGAAGTGATCCGACTGTCTCAGTCTCAATTGTGGACTCCTGACTTGCTGCCTTATAACGACATAGGAGTGTATGACTCGAACAAGTACGCCAAAACAGTGCCTCTCTCAGTAACCCACACTGGATCTGTCACCTGGCTCAATCCAATAGGTGGTGGGAACGCATATTTATTCACTATTCAATAGGGGCAGTATGGGAGGAGGGTTGAGGGGTTGGCTTTTCGGTATTCATTACAGGCCGCAAAACTCCTATATGTGTAATCCGTTTGAGTAAAACTCAGAAGAAAGAGAGAAAATGAGGGTGTATGGATATTTGGGATCTACTTAACAATTGCCCTCCCTTTGGTACCTACTTAAGAATTGTCACCCCTATTAATAAAAGCAGTAAATTAGCGCTAGAGCTTTGTATTGAGACTTCTAAATTTCCTGCAATCTGATTGGTCAAAAATGCGTTATATTAATCTACTTAACAATTACCCCTTTTCTTTAAAAAAAGGGGGTTAATAGTTAAGTAGACCCGATATTTGGGCTATTCAGTTAATTTAAACAAGTGAACCAAATTTTAAATCAATACTCAATTTAAAACGCAGATTTTTAAAGATTGGGTGAAAATGGGGTAATTTTTTTGATCCACGCCCCCTAAATCCTCAACCCAGCAATGATTTCGGGGATTTTTGTATGAGCCAAAAACAGCATTGACTGCGAGAATTGCTTCTATTTTCTTATTGTAGCTTAACTGCTTCAGAACATCAACAAAATTACATTTTATTTGTAAAATAAAAAAACGTTTGCAGCTCTGGAGACTACGTGTACGATGGATGTGACCAATTTCCCCTTTGACAGACAGGAGTGCAACATAGAGATTGGTTCGTGGCAGTACAAGGCTACCGAGATTGACATATTCTGTGGGGGAGTCACTTTCGACACTTCCTCCTACTCCGAACACACGCAGTGGAAACTACTCGGTAAGTTCATTTGTTCACTTTGTTTGTTTTGCTTATTTTGTTCACTTTACTCATTTTGCGAAACTAAAGTGGCCCTCACACATTAACTATATTTAATGCCAAAATGTTGGCAATATCGGTGACATTGGACAGTTTAATTAGTCAAAAACTAAAGCTTATAGGTTAATTAGTTTTTTGGAATTAGTTTTTACGCGAGGAAATTAGGAAGCTAAATTAGGGCGTCAAATGGGCAGTTTCAGATTAGTTCACTTCGTTCAGATGCGTTGACCGAAAAGGATACTGCCAACAATTTGGCAGTAACTAAATTACGAGGCCAAACTGTGCACTGGATAGGTGCACCATTTGGTGTCTGTAAGTCACTGGAATCCAGAGACAAGTCTCTAAACATTTTCCAAAAAGAGTTCGGCCCATAAGTTTTCCGCAAATTATGCGATCAAATACCTTTGTAACGTAAATTTTACTAGTTGTATCATGGGTTCCGCATCAAGCTAATATAACTAGTTGTTCTGAATTGCGCGAATGTAAGCGGATTCCGCAACTCGAAAGCGGATTCCGCAAATGTAAACAGATTCCGCAAATGCAAACAGATTCCGTAACTCGAAGGCGGATTCCGCAAATGTAAACAGATTTCGCAACTCGAAAGCGGATTCCGCAAATGTAAGCAGATTCCGCAAAATCGTATTGTATTCTGTTATGATGAAAATGGAATCCCCAAATTGTGAGTGGATTCCGAAAATGTTAGCGGATTCCACAACACTGTTATCTTGAATTTAATGAAAACATATTTTTTTTCGGTTCTGCAAAATGCTCTGGATTCCGCAAATTTTGTTCCGGAGTCCGCAAATAATAATAATGTTCGGATAATTTTGGAGCGATTTTGAGCAAAACAGTGATTAATTTATTTGTTCCTGGCATCCAAAACAGCCAAAATATCAAAGAATAAAATAAAAATAGCCGTGTATAGTGGATCCCGCAACAAATCTTTTTTTCAACTTGTTGCGTATCAGCTTAAAATTTACAAAATACCCAATTTGGACAATTTATGGTGAAAAATTTCCTAATCTCTTTTGATTAAAAAGTCCCTATCTTGTGGCATTCTTAGAATCTAATTAATTAAGAAGTTGTAAAATCTTCTAAGAAAAGTTCTAGTATAGCACATTGAGGATGAGCTAATTTTGACCAGGTCTGTAGGAAAAAAGTTTTGGAGGTAGTGACTTAATATCTGTTTTTTTTTTCTAATCCAAATAGAACAAAAAACGGTTCAAACTTTCAGAAATGAAATAGAACCGCGAGGATTTTCATGGAAAGTAAGCATAATCGCTTATAATAGGTTTTCATTGTCAGTCTCTATAAATTTCAAAAATAATAGACTATATTCGTTTAAAAGCTGTTTATATTATGATTTTTTTTCAAAGCAATAAAATCCATTTTCAACTGATTATACTCCTTTATTATTTAAATAACTACTCCGTTCATTTTCGCTTTGTATTAGTTTTTGTTCCATATCAGTTGGTCTTCTTATATAGATTAAGGCTCATCGTTTCCATCATGAATTTTGTAATTTCCTTTATTTATAGTTAATTATTTTCATTGCAAACATTTAAAAATTTCTATATTTTGTCTATTTTAGAAACCTCTTGTGTGAGAACTGCAAGCGTCTACCCTACCGGAAAATTCAGCTCTCTAGTGTTCACGATTCGATACGAACGAATGAACTCATTCTACATCCGCAATATCGTTCTTCCAAATGCAGTTCTCTTAGCCCTGAGTAGTTTGACCTTCTTTATCCCAAATAACCTTGGGGAAAGAGTCAGTTTCGGAATCACAGTGACCTTGGCTCTATGTGTGAACTTAATTATCGTGATTGATTTCATACCCGAAACTTCAAAAACTATCCCAAACATCTGCAACTACTTTCTAGTCAGTATTTTCTTGTCTGGATTTTCAATTATGCTCGCCATGATTTCGATCAACATCAGTTTTTGGCTTCAATCGACAAATTTGAAAATGATTGACCATTTTCAGAAACTGACAAATACAGTTTCAGTTGCGACAATGAGTTCCTTTCTGATTTCGGACGACGTTCAAAATAAATCGCGGAAAAGCTCCTTAAAACGTGACTCGGTTGCTACAATTTTGGAGCAGGAGAAAATCAAGAATGAGCAGGAAGAAGTCAAAAGACGAGCAACTGAGAGAAGAAAGGAAAGACTGGCTAAAGCGGTCAGAATTTTTGACGGAGTTCTTGGCATGTCATATCTGATTGCAACCACGCTTTATACTGTACTCTTTATCAATCAATAAGCCGTTGTAACTCTAATAATTGGTTTTCATGACTTCAAAACTTGTAGAAAACTAACCCTGACATTTTGAGGGAGCTTTTGCTAACCCGAAAAAAATCAGAAATTTTCCCATAGAAACCGAGTCTCGCAAATGGTCCATTTTGCATGAATAAGTCAGCCATGTTTGCAGTGAAGTTTAATAAATTGAATTGTTGTTTACAATTTCGGTCAACTCAAAAAGCTGAGTACACGTGATGCACAATATAAGTATAAATGACCATCCTTCCATACAACTTAAATCTCCTCTCTTCCAAACAACCGTCATTTTATCAGCCCAAATTTACACTGACTAATGCGATTTCACTTATGGTTTTTCAAAATTGGCTCGTTAAGCGCCAACAAATTTATAAACATGATTGAAATTCTTTGATTTTTCAATAGTTCAAAATGAACATAGCCTCCTCCATCAGCAAAATATTATTACTATGATAGCAGATGAAAGAGCAAAAGTATGCAATAGCTATTATCTAAACCAGCCAAAAAAACTCAGTTGTTTCGCACAATATAATGACTAGCCGAAAAGCGGGCTTTCTTACCTTGCGAAGTTTTTAAATACAATTGTTTACCTGGCAATTTTTAGTAAGCCATCACGCTGTTTTGTGTAAGACAATAGACTTGTTTTATTTTTTGTTAATGATAAGTTGATTAGTCTTTTGAACTTAGTATGGAATGTTGAACACCTTAAATTTCCTGCCAGGAACCCAAATGAGTATAGGACAATCCTGGACTTACTGCCAGGAAGTCTAAGACAAAAAAATTCTTGGAAATTAGACCTAGAGGCCTACTAGGTACCCTTGCAGGTGATTCAGGAAATCAGCTTTTTTAAATTGGGTAACTTTTGGTCGCCGGAAAGATACTTTTAGGCTCACACAAACTTTTTCAGAAAAACAAATTTGCATGCAAAACTGTATTTTTTAGGTATAACGTAGTCCAGGTTCAGTTTTTCACGCAAAAGAACCAAAAATTTTAGTGAATGTTATGTGTAAAGCCATAATTAGTTTTTGTGTAGTAAAATAAGACTAAATAAAATTTAAAATTTATCTTGAAATTTTTGAAATACCATTGTTTGAGGATAACTGTAAATATAGGGATTTCTTCACAAGTGGTCCCTTGGGCAGTGAATTCAGCGGGGCGACCGAGTTTCACTACTATCTGCAATCCCGAAGGTGTTATTTTGGTGGCAACTATTTTGTACTGCTCACTGTTGCTTGCAACTTCTGTATTTTGCTCTTAAGGCTGTCTCGTCAATACAACCGTAATGATCTCCAATCGCAAAGTATTCCCTAAAATATACGTCTAATTACAGAAGGCTCTGAGTGGCCAGGATATAACCTATTGGTTTAATCGAAGGAAAAGGGTCTGCAATTTTTTAGTGCAATCGCTAGATTGCAAGTTAATTTCCGATAACTTGGCTAGCACTAAACTGATCTCCCTCTCTAGAGAATCTCTGATGAGAACAAGCTATCTACGGTTTCTGTTATAAAAATTCTCTTACCCCGAGAATCAACTACTCGATTCACTAGCAATAATTATTATCACTCCTACAGGCTCTCCGGTACCCTCCATTTCTTTATCTTTATTCACACTTAATTTTAATTAAATCACGTCATTCCCTCTGAATCCTGGCATCCGCTTAAATCACCCGTCTACACATTTTTTAAGACTATAACACTTTTTGTGTCAACTCTGCCACGTGCCAATTTCGATTTCATTCAGCAATCTTTTCACGCTTATTTGATACCCTGTATGCAGTAGGTGTCTTAATTTTACCAGCAAACAAATGTCATACGATTCTAATAAACTATTTCCTGACCTCAGTGAGTTCAGCCCTCGAGTTCAACTCAAGCTACAAATCATGCTATCTTTATTCAGTGACCCTCCCAAGGTCTTTATTATAATTATCCCGTTAGCCTTCTGACCTCCCAAGGGTCGGGGGACACTTTCCATGGGTAGCTAACTCATTTCAGGAATCTAAAAACTCTATCTGTAATCTATCCAATTCCCGACCTTTCTAGCCATCAGGGGAACGTAGCTTGTCTATAAGGGGTCAAATTAAACCAAAAAATTACCTTCGGGGAGCCAAATAAATTCCCCGTCCGTTCATAATATTTGGCTGTCCTATTATTATCAATTTCCTCTGGGACTACTTTTCTTTAGTCTAGTTGAATTGATGTTAATAGATCATTTGCTAAGCTAAACTGAACCCAATATTTAACAAGTCCACTATGAATTAACTCTACTACTCCAACGTTGCAATGTAAAAGCTGTTTGGCTATCATCTTCTGCTCTAGTTCCCAATATACAAGTTTCCTCCCAGTTATTAGTAAGGTAACCGGTTCATATCTCCATAGGGTTGGGGTTGAGGAATACCTCCATAGGATTGGGCTTGGGGTTACCAGTGTTAATCTCAGGGTTTTCTGTGCAATTTTGGGGTCACTACCTCCAAAGGTCAACTTAAGGTCACCCAGGGATCAACCGGGGACAAAAATCCTTACTTGGGGTCAGAATTTTATTGGGGTCCTAACTATTAAGTTCCATCATATCCCATTTATACTTCGCAAGTTATCCCATTTCTAAGGTCTATAATCACTTTTTCGGGAAAAAGGAGATTAACACCGGAAGGAGTTGCCGGAGGGTTTTCACTCACTAGGGGTCTTTTTCGGATTTAATGCCAGTTGCCGCAATAAAAATCATTATACCACCGTTCATTGTTTTGCGTAAATTGCCTATTTCTGGTTTCAGGGTTTTTTCCCAAGTGCTAATGTTTTCCGGTTCAACCGCCGGACTTGGTTGAATTTAAAACACAAGATGTATCTTGCCATCATTCCTCCAAGCTTCAGCTCCCTGCGCTTATTGGAGGCCGAAAAACGACTTCCGGAATTTAGGGGTGAGTTGGTTTACTTAGGGCATAAAACCGGAAGTGGGGATCCTAAGGGTTTGTGGTTCCAAACTTAAACTTCCCTCAACTAGGCCTACAACATATGAACATTCGAGCCCATCGCCGCCGCTAGTTTCCGAATTCTGATTGGACCATTTACACTTCCGGGGACCGTTATTACTTGATCCCCAAGGGTCCGAGGGATCCCGTTTTTTGTATGGCCGGGTTAAATCATCTCTAGTATTGCTCCTCTGAATTTCATAACATTTGCTTCCTTTGTTCCAATTTGAGGAGGGGGGTTCGCCGATTTTTTCAATTGTTATTTTCCGGCTTAGGGGTGGCGATATTTTCGAAGAATGAACTATTTTGAACTCTAGCCTTTGTTTGCTGTACTACTTAATTTGATGACAAATCAATCTTACGCTCAGCTTATTTTTAGCCTTACTACACTGTATGCAAGTCCTAAGATTGAAAAAAATATTCTGCGTTCAGTTCTCATTTTGCCAAACGTGTACTAGATCACCGATCCTACACTAGCCATCGAACCACATAGAAAAAGTAATGTTTTTGTTATCAATAAACTAATAATTGTTTAATTTTTAATTTCAATGGTGAATATTTAAATGTAATTTATCTGCAAGCTTCTGCAAGAATATCTATTTGTGTTTTTTTTTCGAATTTTCAAACAAAGAAAATTAAAAATTCAGGGTAATTCTTGCAAGACATTGACATCGTTTCTTCCTTGCCCAGACGTGGCTTTAGAGATTGTCCAGAGATGGATTCACATGGACAGGTAACCCGGGCTACATTGAAAAACTTATTTTTTATAATCGAGTTTCCTTTTTTATTCAGGCCATTGATATTGGACAAAACTTTGAAATGATACCGGACACAATTTAGAGTCTTTTATTTCATACTAATTACTCAAAAAACGTCACAAACATCTGGAAAATTGTTGTCAATTTGAGAATTTAATTACCCGTATATCAAGTGCTTAAGGAAGTTACACTAAAGTAGGTTTTTGGGTGCTTGCAAATGAAAATCTATTATAAAAAAACGCATGCAATTTTTTCTATCCCTCTAACGGAAGTGATTTGCAATGAAAACTGAGTTAAAACCTTTCGCCTTTCAGCGCTTCTTCTACCTGAGTAATTGATTAATTCGAAAACGAAAGAAAATTAATTGTTTTGTTCAACACATCAGGATTTTCAGACAAAGTCAACAGAACTGCTGGTTTCAGGGCAAACCCTTTATGTTCCGACTTCCTTTTAAGTTCTATGGGGAAATGTTCAATTTTTTTAGTGCATGCCTGAAATCAAAATAGACCAATGGATTAAATCTCCGCTTACGTGTTAATAGCACGAAATTTTTTGCGTGTTACTTGGCCCAAATTGGCAATCTGTAAACACCCATAAACTTACGCAAAATCATCACAAGTGAGTTTTTAAATTTGAGCTAGATATGAGTTTTGGAACAAAATTTGAGCTCAGGAAAACAAAAATTTGGCAATGTTTAAATGTAACTTTATTCAAAAAAAATCGTAGATGAAATATTTTTTTTTAAATTTGAGATTTGAGCTCAGACCAACAAGTTTTTTCGAATGATACAAAAAAAAATCCGTAAAAAGTTGCTAGTTGAAAAGTCGAAGCCGGTCTGAAGACAAATATTTTGTCACTTTCTTCGGCTTGTTACAAAACTCAAGCCAAATATCTTAGCCAACAAAACGCACGTGTTAGTTCTATCCAAATTCTGGAACAAGTCTGCGAAGAAAGCGATGTGACTGATTTCCGCTATTTTTCTTCTCGTTGATACAATAAAAAAAAACTTTGCAGGAAAATATTTTGCCGGAAAAGGTGCCCTGATCTCTGCTTTTTGGCTGCTGGTTTTATTTTTTTGTCCTTGATTATTTAACAAAAAAATGGAGTTGCTCGCGATGATGGAGATCCGTCTCATAAAAAAAACAGTTCTGTTGTCTAATGATTAAAAGGAGTAGAGTAAAAAATTCGTTAATGATAAAACCATGTATTATAACAATGTATGCGATTTGTTTAATTATATATTTACTTTTTGTCTTTTTTGAAGCGCTTCGGAAAACTTTTTCATTATTCTCAAAAAAATGATAATTTTTCTCAAAAATTGATTTTTCGATTTCCAGAAAAAGGTTGCCAATCGAAGGACTGACCAAAAAAGTTACCAATCGAAAGACTGCCCAAGACGGGACGTGAGAAACGCCCTTGCAATATTGGCTAAGCCCAAAATTTTTTGCCAAGAAAAAGCCGCGTTCGGAAAAGTCATAGTTCTGAAATTTTTTGACCGTCTTTTTAAACGCTGAGTTTTCTCGAAAATTACCCTGCTAGAGACCAAATTTGAGATGCTGATATCAACA